TTCTTCTTTTGGGGCTCTTTCAAAACAGCTCTTCCTCTCTGATTCCTTGAGATAGCTCTAAGAATACAATTTCTTAATTTTTAGGGCATACTGAAAAGATCTCTTCCTCTCTTATTTGTGCTGTCACCTGCCATTCTTTTCAAGGAGGTCACGCTAACCAAACAAAACCAACTGGAGAAGGAATAGAAGTACTAAGAGTCATAAGAACAACACCAGCATTAAACCAGCCCCACAGCCAATCAACTTTGCTCAAGTGTTTTGTCATTTCCAATGACTGGTGGGAAGTCAGGAGTCTAAAGGGAATCTAGGAAGCCAACTCATCTGCTCACTTTGGCCAGGCTAGCACACACTCTTTTTACTGAGCCACTGGCTAGGTCGCAGCCTCCTGCTGCTCCCAAAACAATCCCTGCTTTTGTCTTCACTCTAGAAGGAAGCTCAGGCAAAGCCCACCCAGGCCCTGCTGCCCACAAAGGCAAAAGGAACGCCCCAAGCGCTCCCTGCCTGCATCCTAGCACCACAGTGGCTTCTGGAGAGAGTCCAAAAATTCTCTCCCAACACCAAATGAGGAGGAACATGTGCTACAGCTCTTGCCGAGGTACACACACTGTAATACACTGCTCGATGGCACAAGAAATCCCCAGGACGTACTCAGCAGACGCAGGAACTGCTCCTCTCTCTCCTGGCTTGAGCGGGGACAACTGCTCATCCTTGGGTTTTCAGGCTGTGGAGAGGGGGCTTCTTCCCAGGATGCTGCTGCAGCGACAGCTTTGATGGCAGCTCCTGCATTCATCTGGGACAAGAAATTTGCTTGTGTCAGAAAGGTGCCTGGCACAGATGCCCCAGACAGAGCATTTCAAAGGCAAGCACTTAGGAACAGCACTGGGCCTGGGCTGCAAGCTGAGCTGTCAACTCTTCCACCTGCAGTCCAAGCCAAACAAGCAGTCTGAGACTACAGCTTGTCACAGTCAGCCATAGTGGAGACTGCGAAAGGGAAAGAACAACTTTACACTTCACTCCCTTCTGAGGACTGCATTCACCATGGACAGGGACAACTTGCCCAGAATCTGCGTGGGTCACCACGCTCACCTGAACAGACCCCTCCAAAAACAAAGCCAGCACTAAGAGGCCAGCAGAAATATATTCCCAGGATTGCTGGCCCACCGGCCAAAGCACTAGCCCTGCTGCCCAGGGCAGCAGCTGAGATTCAGCAACCCACTAAGTGTCCTTCTGAGCAGCTGCCACGGAGAGCACAGAGCATGGCAGTCAGAGACATTGGTCCCATCCACCTGCTGCTCTGCAGGGGAAAGGCAACAAGGGCAGAGACCACTTGTTGCATGACTGCACTGCTTCCTCCTCCTTCATTCACCTGCTTTCGTCCAGCCAGCCTGTACTGCAGCAGGATCTTGTGCATCCTTTGCACTTCTTCTTTGTGCCTCTTCTCCATTGCCTCCATCTTCCTCTGAGCTTCCCGCAACTCTGCCTGCAGCTTGTCCTTGATATTCAGGAAGATAAGAGGAATCTTACTGGCATCCGCAATCTCGTTCAGGTTTCCTCTTTTGCACTCTCAAAAGCACTTGTGTTCAGCCCCTTCCTTCTGCTTCTCTACCCAGCTCTAACCCTTCCATCCTAGCTCTTCTTCCTGGTGCTCAGCGCTGCAGCCTGCCAGGCTCTGTGCTTCCAGTGCCTGCAATGGTCCTTGCCTCCCCTTTCCTCACGTCTCCAGTTCATGTCCCCATCACTGCCCTTCCAAGCTCTTCTACCTGGCTAGTCAGGCTCACCTGTCCATTCTGCCGCTCCTTATTCAGCTCCTGCCTCAGCTGCTCTAGCTGCTGCTGCCTTTCATTTAGATCTCCCAGCAGCTGGCGCACCTTATCATCTAGAGCAGCCTTCTGGCTCTGGAGCTGCACAGAAACAAAGAGAAGACGGCTTTCAACGTCCCACACACCACTTGTGTGGCAACCAAGACTGATGTGCTCATGCCTTCCAAAAGCAGTTTCTTCTCATTCCTGTATTTACCAAGGGCCAGCTAAGAGACAATCCCAGACAGACAGACAGTGTCCAGAGAAGCTGTGCCCATAAGGGGCCCAGAGGAGTCCAAACCAACACACAAACTCTCTTTTCACACTCTGTGCCTCTTGACTGTCTCTGCTTCTTTGCCCATCCAGGTTGCATGATGGCAATTTACTGCTTCATCTCAAGCAGCCTTTTCTCCTCTCCCCTCTGTACCTCTGCCACCAAGTTGATCCATTGCTCCAGCTTCTCCTGTGCCTTCAAACTCTGTTGTTCCAGCTTGCTTTCCTGATGAGTGGAAGAGACACGTCCAGATGAAGTCCCACCAATGCTCCCCAAAGGAAAAACAGAAGCTTCATCCCTCCAACAACCCCCGCACCTGAAGAGGGCACACTAGTGGCTTTGTGCCCTCCAGCACCTGGGAGGAGCTCCAGCACGGCTAAGGAAAGGAGAGGTCACCTTCCTTCCCTGCTCTGATGGCTGCCTGTTTCCTGGGCCCCCCCTCTTCAGGATTTCTGCCTGTTCTCAGAGGCTCTGTCCTCAGATTGCCCTGCCCTTTGGTCAAGGAAAAGCTGCAGATGGACTGCAGGATGAGGACGACAGCAGCACCTCGATGACCCAGTCACAAGACAGGCCACCAGCTGAAGTACCAGCACCAGGAGGCCTGTTGCAACTGCTTCAGGCTCCAAGGGAAGACCTCTGTCCGCTGGGGAAGGACAGAAAGCAAGGAACCCAGTTGCTGGGACTGCAGCTGGCAGCAAGGTCAGCAGCAGTCTGCTGCATGGCACCAGGCTGTGGGGAAAATGCTGCCCCTTCGCTGCCATGCTTTGGGTGGTGACCACCCAGCCTCCTGGGGAACTTGGCTTATGGCCATGCTGAACCTGTGGCTGCATATACTGTCCCAGCACTGTCCTCTGGGTCTTCACAGGCCTTCAAGTAGGAGCTCTTGAACCCCTCTGCTGCCTGGCCCAGCAATGTGTAGCCTACAGCAGATGCTTGAGACCATGTCACATACTCAGGCTGCTCTTCTGCTAAGCCAGCCCTTCAAAGTCGCTGGAAAACTTCAGGGATGTACTGTTTCTTACCAGGTTTTGCACAATCTTCCTTTTCTTCGCTTCCTCAGCAGCTTGCCAGAGTCTCAGAGCCTTGCTGCACTGCTCTTCTGCCCAGCGGAGCTGTTGAGCCATGTCTTCACATTGCTGCTTGCTGAAAGATCTTACAGCCAGCAGCTCACGACGAAGGCCCCTCACATCCTCTGCAAACGTGACACACGGCAACAGTCAGAGACTGCACAAGCAGAAGAATCTGCTGACCTTAAGCCCCTTCAGTTTCAGGCAAGGAGGAACCTGCCCTCAGCTCCTTCACTCCTCACAAGCCCTGCAGACAGAGCTGCCTGTGGCGCGACTGCACTGGCCAGGGCCATCAGCAGAAACAAAGCGCACGAGGCTCTCACCGAGTATCAGCTCCTTGGCCTGCCTGGCTGTGCGCACTTGGGCTTCCAGGCAGCTCCTGGCCGTCTCCAGCTCCGATACGTGCTGCTGAGCCTCCAGCAGGCTGCTTTGCAGGCTCTCCTTCTCTGACCTGCAAGTTGTGAAGATGGAGAGCAATAGTTCCTGGCACACAGGGCCAGTTTCTCCAGTGTGGCACATCTTAAGATGTGCCTTAAGATCCCTGTACCTTAGGCTGGAAAACAGCTTGCATGGAAGCTCAGACAAAGCAGGACAATTTTACCACTTCAAATAGCAGAGCAGGCCCCTCCAGGTGACTGGGAAGCCTTGCCTCGTGTCCTAGGCCAGCACAGAAAGCCCAGCTGAGTTTGAGCTCAGTGGACAAAGCTCAAATTGCTGTTGCCTGACTTATCACACACGGGTGGCTGTGCCCACAAAGTCTCTGCAAATGAGCAAAAGGCCAGCCGCTGCTCACAGCCCTGAGCTCACCAGCACTTCCAAGTCACTCTGCAGGGGGATAGAACAGCGTTCTCCTGGCTGACCCGTCAATGTTTCATGCTATTCCTCATGTGCATATAGGTACTTGGCTTGCCAGGCACTCTCTAAGGAAAAGGGACTAAAGGAATTCACCAAACGATAGAGTGAAACCTCCAGCTTCTAGCAGCATGAGTAGGAATCCTGAACTAGGTTTTTATCTGAACAAGAACTGTCTAGGAAAAGGAGAGACACACAGCCATCCTGCCATTTAAATCATTGGAAGATCATGAACAAGAACACTTGCTACCTTTCTTTATGGCTAACTACGCCAGCAGTGCCCAAGTGATTTGGCACTCTTTAAAAAAAGGAAGAGGCACCAGCCAAAGGGACCTTGACAGGTTACAGAAGTGGGTGGACAAGTGGGCAAGTATCAGTGCTCAGCAAGGATCCCTAGAGACTGTTGAGAAGTCACAAGACCTTTCCCTGCTGCTGCTGCTGCTGCTGCTGTTGCTGCTCCTATTAAGCTACTCTAGGTCCTGCATCCTACTCCACAAGAGTGAGCTCTCAAGGGTTGCAAGATTTGCAGCATGCCCCTCCATCTTCAGCTGAAGGGTCAGCACCCGACTCACAACATTCACATGTAAGAGCCTTGAATTCTGAAAATCCCCCGTCAAACTATTTGGCAAGGAAAAACTGATGTTCAGATGCAACAAAGGAGAAAGCAAAACCAGAGGGAAACTTCCGATTTCAGGAAACATCTGCACCGTTTCCCTGGTACTCAAGTCAGTGCCAAGTTGGTTTGCTTTGCACTTGTCACGGGAATGTGCAAGAGGTCCCAAGCAGGTGCCCAAAAGAGCTTGGAGAGCTTGAGTTGGCAGAAAAATCACATTCAGATCAGAGTATCGTTTTCTTTTTCTCATGTCTCTTTGCCTCCCTGTCTGAGAAACATCAGGAGAGCACACAGGAGGCGGTAAATCCTGACTGGTGGTAATGCTCACCACCTTTGTAATTACAGACTTTCAATAATGTCCCACCCTGGGTCTCCTCCCTGCCTTTACCTGGCTTCTGCCAGCTGCTCTGAAACGCCCCGTAGGTCCCGCTCCGTGGCTCTCAGTCGGGCTTCCAGGGCAGCGTTCTCTTTCACCAGCGCCGCCTTCTCTCTGCACACCTGGGACAGTGTCTGCCCTGGGAGAGAGAACTCCTGCCCCAGCTTCTCCAGGCCCCTGTGGGCTGGCCGCTGCGGGCGGCAAACCTGCAAGAGGGGGCAGCATTTTTCAAGTGGAACAACAACAACAGCAACAACACAGGCTCGGTCCTAGCTTGCTGCCAGAAGCAGCATTCGGGGGGGGGGGTCTGGCTAGGACAAGTCCCTCTCCCCACAAGTGCTGCCTAGGAGGAAGGTGAGCGTACCTTTGGTGCCACCAGAGGAAATGCTTCCTGCAGTAGATCCCTCTGAGGCGGCGTTTCCACCGGGGTCAGTTCTGCCACTTCAAACACCCTCTCTAGGGAGGAGTGGCGCTTTCTCTCAGATGCAGCCAACTCCTTCCATCTGCAACAAGGGGACAGACAAACAAGCCTTTAAGTGCAACACAGTCGCCTTGCAAAACCAGCACTACATACCATGCCCCACATAAGGCATCTCAGGCCCTTCCAACAGCCCTCTGCTTCCACCTCAAGAGATGGCTGCAATTCCCTCCCTAGACCCGCATCTCTCTTTGTCATTCCTTCAGGTGAAAGAGTCGCCACTGAGGAAGTCAAACAAGCTTCCACAAGCCACAGAACACTGCCAGAAAGCTCAGGTACTCTCAGCATAACAGCTTCCCTGCCTGCTAGGCCCAACACTCCTTTCTGATGCAGTGAGCACTGGACTTGCAAAAGCTTTTCTTTGGCTAAGACACGCTTGCCAAGTCTAAATGAGCAGTCCCACAATTGCTCCTGCTTTCACTAGCGAAACAAAGAATGAGCCTGCAAGTTACAGCTTGGGGAGGAGGTGGGTACGATTTTCCAGTTCAATAAGCAAAGGATCCCAAGATGGTTTAGGCTGGCAGAGACCCCAGGAAGCCTCTAGCCCAGAGTTCACCTCCAAGCAATTGGGGTCAGCATCTGGCCAGGCTGCTCAAGTCTCTATCCACCTGGGCCTTCCAAATTTCAAGGGTGGAATCTGCACATGCTCTCTGAGGCACTTGTTCTGCTGCATGATTGTCTTTGCAGGTCAGTGCTTTGCTGTCCTTAAGCCCAGCCTGAACCTCCCTTGCTTTTACTCTGGTCTAGTTCAGAATGCTTTTTGTCAAGGTTCGAGAAGCGAGTCCCAGGAAGCAGCTTTGCTCTAGGTCGGTCTGCAGCCAGACCTGCCCTGGGCTGCCTTCTCCCGTCTGTGCTGAGCAAGTCAAATAGTGAAAAGCCAAATTTGTTCTTTGGTCCTGGGCCTCCTAAAGCCCAGCAAGGCCCACCCCTGCTCAGAGAAAGTGAGAAAGCTTAACACGCACCTCAGCTCCCGGGCGCCGCGCACTCTAGCCGTGCTCTCGTGCCGCTCCGCCTTTCCTGCCTGGACCGAGGAGTCCCGACTGGTGAGAACTTCTCCTAGCGGGACCTGCAAGGATTGGGCAGGGAAAAAGCACAAAGCAGCAATGAGGAGGAGGGAAGTTGGCTCCTGACAGCTGGCAGAAGCAGCAAGCAGAGACACAGCTCACCTGAAGGCAAAATCTATTGTGTGGGGCCGTTTAGGCGGTGTTTAGGTGCTGTTTATGTCCCAACTAACTCATGAGTTGCTCTGGAAATGTCTGAGGAGAAGCAGGGAACATTTCCCTGCCCAGCTCTGGTCAACTGGCTTCCCCTCAGGATTTCAGGCCTTGGAGAGCAGCCAATAGGAACTGCATTCCAGCCCTTTACAGACAGACCTTGTCTCTGCCATGCAGAGCTGCTCAGAATTCTTCTCAGCAAACTTGGGTCATGTCAAAGTTTAGGGTGTAGCTGCAGTAGTGACTGCAGCTACTTAGATAGGCCATGGAGAGGGGTAGGTCCCTGCAGGCAACAGTGGCTCCTCCATACCCCACAGGCCTGTGAACTGCGCCTTAGCACCTCTCCCTCTGCTGCCAGCAGGGAGCCCGCACAGACTCTGCACAAAGGGGCTGACTTTTGCACCAGTAGCACTAAAGGGCATTGTGCTACCGCTTATCTCACAGCACGGGAAGTTCAGAGTCCCTGAGAGTGCCAGGAAAATGACGCCTGCATATGAAAGTTCAGATCCCATTTCCCACGCGTCAGTGGCTGAGCTGAAGAGCTAGGTCATGGCAGGACTCCAGCCCACATCAGCCATCTTCAGCCACCGAGGGCAAGTGCTGCCTGCTCAGAAACTTGCATGCAGCTCTGCACTGCACCACAGCTTTGCACTGAAGGAGCTATTTCAGCCTGCCTACAATCAGCATGCAGCCTCCTGTCTGCAGAGCTTGACTTTTATTAGTGAAAACCTCTTCAGTGGAAAAGGAGGAAACGGATGGAATCCTTTTGGAAGTGTTCCTGCACACATTGACTTTGGGGACTTTCTTTCGGCCTGCCAGGCTGCTGCTCTACTGCAACAGGCCAAGGCCACAGCTTTCTCCACAATCCTCAGACACCAGGAATGCCAAGGGTGCCCGTCCCACTCACCGAAGCGCGCACTTGACTCCTTCCTCCTCGGAGTCGACCTGCCGGGAAGAAGGGAAAATGAACCAGGGGCTGTTAGAAATCTCTCTGTGCTGAGGAGTCCCACAGAGCAAGTCCAGCCAAGCGGAGAGCGTTTTCCTTTCACAACATCCCTCTGGGAGCAACACTTCTTTAGCACAGCCAGCGAGACTGCAGGCCACTACCCTAGGCTGTGTCTACCTTTTGCTCAGCTTTGCCACTAAGGAACCAGAAACTTGGCCGAGAAGTTGCAAATTCTTCCTTAGCAGTCCCTGCCTGCATTCGAGCCTGTTGTCCAGCCTGCAGCTAAAGCAGCTGTTTTCTCCTCTCTTTCCTGGACTTGCTTTTTCTTTTTGTAAATTGCACGCAGCATGTCCCACGCGGTTGCTGTAAACAATTCCCCACCAAAGCTCCCACCAAACCCCTCTTAGCGCTTGCAGTTCTGTTGGGACACAGCACAGGCCCAGCTCCGGGCTTCAGGAGCACGCACCAGCTGCTCGGCACTTTGCCCTTCAGCGCAAAGCCAATCCCTCTTGTAGCACACACTGGAGTTGCACTTAGACAGGCACATCCTTAAAGGATGGAATGCAGAAAAAATGCTGCTTTTCCTCAGTTCTGGAGAGAACCAAACCGTTTTTAGAAGGACGCCTGCAAATCTTGCCCAGTCTGCATTTGGAAGTTCCCACACCCTGCTAGGCCAGAGACAGCCCCTTTTTAGGTGAAGCTGTTGACAGGAGCTTCACCAAACAGATGGCATCTTTATGCCATTTTTGTTTCAATGTGCTGCCCCAAGGAAAAACTTGGATTTACCAGTCAAACGACGAAAAGCTTTCCGAGGAGCCACCAATGAAAAGGCGCTGCTGACTGCTCTACGGACTCGCTCCATGGTTTGAGCAGTGCTGCTCAAGTCCGTAGGCCAGGGGAACAAAAAACGGAAACAAACCCCCTCTTGCACAAGTCCCCAGACTGTGCAAGGAAAAAAAGGGGAGAAACAGGACACTTGCACAACTCCACAAACTGCTCAAGAAACTACAGACACAAAAGGACACCTGCTGTAATCTGAGAACAGCACAGCTGAGGTGATCCTCCTGCAATGAGCGCGCCAAGAGCTGCTCTGGATGCTGAGGCCTTGCAGGCACCAGGAGAACCTCCTGCTGACAGCGCTGTTACCTGGCAACCCTCTGCTGACATCACAATAGCAGCCGTTCCGGGTTGCTCTGTGGATTCATGCATAGCAAACAAACCTTCTCTGCAGCTGACAGAAAAGAAAAGACTGGAAAGATCTCCTCTGCCCCAAAGCAGCACAAAAGCCCCTTGCAGTCCATAAGCCACAGCTCAAAGGAAGCAAGAGTAACACAAAACAGGCACCAAGCCCATACACCCTGTACGCCAAGCTGAACACCGAGAGAGAACCAGGATGTGAGGAAACCAAAGGCAGCGGGCCCTTTTGGTCAGCAGTGCTTCTGACTAAAGCCAATTTTAAATTTGCTTTTAAATCCTCTGGATGAAATTGTGCTTTGCTTCTTTTGCTAATATCCCGGAGAGTTCCCTAAACTGGAATGCCTGTCATTCCTGCCCATTTACTGCATGGCTAACATCAACCAGCACATTGTAGGGCTTGCTGAAGGAAGAATAACACCTAGGTGGGGAGAAAAAGCCAAGTAACCAACCTGCTGCACACACAGCACACTGCTGCTGCACAATCCCAGCACCTCCAAGAAGCCTTTGGGGTCTGTGACTCACTTCTGGCAACTTCCTTGGGCACACATCGGAGAGTCACAGAGATCTGACTCTAATGGACGCACAGAAAGAAGGAAAAGGAAATCAAATCCCAGTGCGGGGCAACATAGAAGCTGCTGTGGGGAGGAAATCAGTGCAGCAAAATGGGCAAGTCCCACCTAAAAGGGAGGAGACCATGAGGCAGAGAGCAAAGAGCTCAGCCGGTGGGCACACCTTAGGAAGGCAGGCTCAGGGAAACAGAGCAACCACAAGCCTTCGAAAGCTCAGAAGCTTCCTTCCAGGCTGCATAGTGTCCTGATGAAAATTCCCTCTGTGTGTCCGACTGAAAGTCAGGACTGTTGCCGTGAGAGGAGGGAGGGAGAGGCGGCGGCCGCTTTCCCCTCGGCTCTGCGAGGCTCAGTTCGCGCGGGAACAGACGAAATGGCGACACGGGGCTTGGGTGCAAACACGTGTTCACTGTGGGAGCGTGTCCCGAGACCCCGGGGTACCGAGCGGGGCTCAGGTATAGCCCGTGCCGGGGGCGGGGGGGAAGCTGAGCCGCGGCCAACGGGACGGGAGGCAGGGGACAGGGGCAGGGAAACCCCGGGGGCTGCAACGGGAAAGCCGCGGGGAGGGGCAGGGACGGCCCGCCTGGTGAGGGGAAAGGCGGGGGGCCGGGGACCGGGACCGGACCGCATGGTGAGGGGGAGAGATAAGGGAACGCAGGGTCGGGACAAGGGACCGTGGGGGGAAGGGGCAGTGAGAAGGGGACGCAGGACAAAGGGGGAACACGAGGGAAGGGGGGAGGGGGGATGGGGAGGAAAAAGAGAAAATTACAAATCCTACACAGGACAGTTCTCAAGAAATGTCCGATTAGATGACAAATGCCTTTGGATCTACAGACACCACATTTGTGCCTTACTAGTGTCCTAATCCCAAAGCTTTAAAATGTTGGTGAGTGACCCTCATTTCCTCAGGCCTAGAGATCAGGCAGTAGTTTCAAACGTGCCCTGCCTACAAAACAGTCTGCATAGCTATGCATACCATTTTCTGCCCACTATTCACAAAACACTGGTGTCCTCAAAGGAAAGCAGCAGAAAGCTCTAGCAGCCTGCCCCCAGCCCAAGAGTTTCCAACCGATTTTTTCCTCTACTTTCTACATCCTACGTCTTAGCAAAAGTCGTTCCTGCCAGCACAGTGAACTGGAGACAGAGCATTCGTTCACGTGCAACAGTGCGGGTTGGTGTTGCAGCCTGAGAGCTGGAACACAGGAGCTTGGGCAACTGAGTTTTTAGATGCAACAGCAGCCAGAGAACGAGGCTGGGGGTGACTGCTTGGGGAGGAAAGTGGCCCAGCAATGGCATTGCACACAAGCTGTGGAGGAGGCACTATCAGCATGACAGCCCTAATAATGCCACACAAACCCTCATAGTTTTACACTGGATTCATTGGACGCTGGCTGCTCTGCATGTATGTCCATGCTGCCACCTTGATAACCTTTTGGAAGCAGTCAGAGCTAGCAGGATTCAGCCAGCATCAGGAGCTGATGCAGCCTGAGAATGTGCTGATTTACAGAGGCTTCTGGCTTCCAAGGTGAAGCCAAGGCAAACCCTGCTGCTGCTGCTGCTGCTGCTCTGCCAGAGAGCCCCGGCTGGGCAGGGATGGCATCACTGTGCCGCGGGCTGTTTCTTCTTCCAGAGCTGGGCGCTGCTTTTGAGCCAGTAAATACAGCTGGTGGGAGAACAAATGGGCCTTTTCATGTGCCAGCACTTAGGCACACACTAGGGCCACCTACAGGGGAGACTTTCGGCCCCCACAAAGCAAAGCAGAGGGACACAGTTGGAAAACGCTTCCTTTACAGCCGCCATCGCTCTTGGAAAAGAAGGGACCCGAGTGACAGGACGAGCTTGCTTGGATTTTCCCCCTGAGAGCAGCCTGGTAATGCTGCTTGCTGTCACAGGGCTTTGTGCCTCCCAGGAAACTCCACAGACTCACTTGGCTTCCTCCTTTCTAACACATGGCCGCGGTTAACTGCCAAGAGGATGAGCAGTGTAAGCCATTCCTCAGCAAAAGCCAATCCCTCAAAGAAATGCTGATTCCAGCGGGATTTAGGCCCAAGTGTTGTTCTCAAGAGCACTGAGGTTCAGGTTCCAGCAGCAAGACAAGAGCAGGCAGCTTGGCAGGCCTCCATTACCCCCAGCACTCACCTGCCTTGCGAATTCCTCTGCTTCCTGTAGCCATTGGCTGAACTCCTGTTCTTGATCTGCGGCCTTCTCCTGTTCCCCGTGGGACTGGCACCTGAGGCACTGAGGCACCTTAGGAGGAAGTCTAGAACAGAATGACAGAGGAGAAGTCCACAGAACCTGCATTTTGGATTGTTTGCCTGTTTGGTGCTTGGAACTGTCTGCAGCAGACATGGAGTTTGCAGATCAGTGAGCTATACAGCCCAGAAAAGAAAAGACTAGGCTCAGGAAAACAGGATCAATTTACTCAGCTCCTGCAGGCCAGAAATGAGCGTGCAGCAAAGGACTGAAAAGTGCAGTACTACTATGCAACACTCACATCCATGGAGGAATCTGAGCTTGCAGGTTTCCCACAAGCCAAAGGGAGTGGGTTTTTGCAAAGGTACCAGGAGCTCAGTGTTGGACAGGAAACTTTGTCAAGAGAAGGGCTGAATTGGGACCCGGTGGAAGTGAAGAGAATTGACAAATGCACCCATGGGTGCACCCAGACTGTGAGGGCTGCCCCAAGGGCACCCCCGGCTATGCACAAGATGTGGGCACTGCAGAGGACGTGTCCCTGCCATATTGCCAATATAATCACTGCTCCAGTGTCATGCAAACACATATGGGTGATTTGTTCCTCGGCATCTTTTCTCCACTAAAAAATCGTTCTTCCTTCAGTGAGCCCCACAACTTGCTGGTTGATGTTAGCCATGCAGTAAATGAGTGGGAATGACAGAAATTCCAATTTAAGGAACTAGTTTTAGTCAGAAGCACTGGTGGCCAAAGTACAGGTTGTGGGGGCTTGGGGTGTGTTCTGCATTCCTCTTGGATCCTTTGAGCTATGGATTATGCACTGCAAGTGGGCTTTATGTTGCTTTGGGACAGTGTGCGCCCTGTCAAAGGAGTCCTTTTTGTCACCTGATGCTGTAAAGTCTGTGGACAAATGCAGGCATCCTTTTTTTTCCCCTGCAATTGTAGGGTGTGCAGAGATGTGCACGTGTCCTTTAATTTTGCCTTCTTATGCAGTTGGCCAATTGCTGCAGCTAACCCTTTTTTCTCCTTTTCCTTGTAAAGTCTGGGGACTTGTGCAAGTGGGTCCTTTTTCATTTTTGTTTCCTGGCCTGTAGACTCGAGCAACACTGATCAAATGATGGAGTGAATCCATAGAGCAGTTGGCAGGGCTTTCTCGTTGGTATCATCCTGCAAAGTTTTTAATGGTCTGACAGGTAAGTAAAAGTTTTTTTCACTGGGGCAAAACAAAGATGGCATAAAGATGGCATATGTTTGGTAAAGCTCCTGCCAAGAGCTTCAGCTAAAAAGGGAGTGTCTCTTGCCCAGGAGGGAGCCTGAGGGCATCCTTTTTTTAATCTCTGTGGTCGTAGGGTCTGCAGACACATGTAGGTGTCCATTTTTCTTCCTTTTTCTTCTATAGTCAGTGGATTTGTGCAGGTGTCCTTCCCACCCCCACTCCCCCCCCACTATTTTCTGTACAGTTCAAGAACTCATGCAAGTGTCCTTTTATCTTCCTGGGAAACAAGGTAAGTCACTGCCACCCAAAAGCAAGAGTAAATACAAACAGAAGTTTAAAATAATTTCACGTTTTATTTAATGTTACTTTTAAGGATATTTTAGGTTACTATATCAATTGTATTCACCATCAACTGCTGGGGTTTGATCCTTTTGTTATAACCTCAATGATGGAGTGTTTTTATGTTGAGCTTACTAAAATCAGAATAGGTGAAAGTTTTGCTACCAAAGCTGTTAGATGCTTGCATAATTATACAATAGTAGCACTGTATTCACCCTCATTTAAAGGATTATTTCAGAAGGGAGAATTTCTTGCTTTCCAAGTTGTAAGACTAAAAATTCAGTACATATAGGCTCAAGGAAAGACAGTGTTTAGAGAATAAAGCAACTGGAAAATATATTAGGGTATTTTCTCTTTGGCAGTAAAAAATTCCAGAATGAATGAGATCAAAGGCAGCCTAAATAAATATCACACTCCCCAATACAACATTGTATCTACAGAGTGGTGTCAAAATGTAGAGCCTTCCAACAGAGTATTTTTTTACCTGCTATATATACTTCTGTAGCACATCTGCATACCTAAAGAAGACAAGCAGTTTATTTTACAGAGATCTCTCAGTACACTTGAAAGAGTATTGTTCTTTAGTATTTCTCCACAGATTTAGAGCTTAGAAGTTAACAGCCAACCCCTGAGACAGACACATGCATCTCAGTTGCATGCTGGCAACTTTCTCCTTATACCTGCCCAAACAAAAGGGAATTACTTTTCAGGCAGAGAGACAGCCAGACTGTACAGCATATCCTAAAGGCCCTTAAAGGACTTCTGATTTACGGGAAAGTGTAATCAACCCAAGAGTAAAGCAAACTCCACAGCTCATGTGTCATTCCCATTTTGTATCTAGCTGAAGCAGCAGATGTTGTCACTACCTTCTT